AGGGGAATGTAGCTCTTTGGATTTTGGGTAGGGAAAATGGGTTTACACTTTGGAAACTACCCACTGATGCATGTTGCCCTGAAGAGAGTTTTGGGTAATCACACACTCCCAGGGTTCACTACAGTTGGGGATGGGGCCTCATAAAATGGGCTTCATTTATCTCATAGAAAGTTGTTCTTTCCTAGAAAAAATTCAAATGTTAGTGTCTCTACCTCACAGGCAGAAAGAAATCAGAAACAGAGGACCACAAGGAATCTAGAGAAAAAATTTTTGACTACTATAGCTATTTTTTCTTTCTTTCTTTTTTCTTTTCTTTTTTTTTTTTTTACTGAATTCCTGCTTTGTTGTTGTTCAGTCGTGTCAGACCCTTTGTGGCCCCATGGACTGTCGCACATCATGCTTCCAAGTCCTTCACCATTTCCTGGAGCTAGCTCAAACTCATGTCCTTTGTAGTAACTGTGTTTGGGCTTCCCAGGTGGTGCTAGTGGTAAAGAACCTGCCTGCCAATGCCGGAGATATGAGGGATGCGGGTTTGCTCCATGGGTGGGGAAGGTCCCCTGGAGAAGGGAATGGCTACCGACTCCAGTAATCTTGCCTGGGAAACCCCATAGACAGAGAAGCCTGGTGGGTTCCATGGGGTTACAAAGAATCAGACACCACAGAGCGACTAACACTTTAGTTTTCACTTCAGAAGCAAAAATGGGTAGACTAGTTCTTTATATGCATATCCTGGCACTATCGTACTGTAGCATAGCATTTGGTACCACTTCTCAAGAGGCTCTGCACCCTTAATTTTTCAGATATTTATGAGATGGATGCTTTCCTTAACTAAAAAATTGCTTATCTTACTTTGCATGTGTGCTTAGTCACTCAGTCGTGTCTGACTCTTTGCGACCCCATGGACTGGAGCACACCAGACTTATCTGTCCATGGATTCTTCAGGCAACAATGCTGGAGTGGGTAGCTATTCTCTTCTCCAGGGAATCTTTCTGACCCAGGGATTGGACCCAGGTCTCTTGCATTGCAGGCAGATTTTCACTGCCTGAGCCACCAGGAAGCTCACTCTAATTTTAGAGAAACGTTAAGCTAAATCCAAACTCCTAACCAAGATCCGTGCTGCTCTTCAGGGTTCTTGTCCTGTCTCCCTCTTCAGCCTCAGTCTGTTCTGTCTGCTTCTTCCCTATTTCACTTCAGGCACAATGACATTTCAGGGTCTTCAACTCTCTAGGTTACTTCCAATGTTGGAGCTTAGGACATGTAACACTCTTATTGTAATTGCTTCTCATCTGTTGGATTCCAGCTAAAATTATTACCCTTTCTAAAGACCTTTTATTATTGTCTGCTGTACTCTCTCCCTCTTACTTTCTGTCACAGTTCCCTGTGTTTTGTTTTATTAGCGTGGATCACAGATCATCATTACCGTATTGTGTGTGTGCAAAGTCACTTCAGTCGTGTCCGACTGTTTGTGACCCTGTGGACGTAGCCCGTCAGGCTCCTCCATCCATGGGATTCTCCAGGCAAGAATACTGGAGTGGGTTGCCATTTCCTTCTCCAGGGGATCTTCCCTACTCAGGGATCGAATCCAGGTCTCTTAAGTCTCCTGCATTGGCAGGTGGGTTCTTTACCACTAGCACCACCTGGGAAGTTGTTCAATTTTTAAATAACTGGCTATATTATATACAAGGTGAATGCAGCAGCACTTTTATCCTGATTTTTTTCCCTCTTTACTGATGCTTCATTCTCTGGCTCACAGGATAAAGCCTGCCACAAAGTAGGCCCTCAATAAAACTTAAAAAAAAATAGATTAGATAAATAATGTTATTGCATCTAGTGAAGCCGCTCAGTCATGTCCGATTCTTTGCGACCCCATGGACTGTAGCCTGCCAGGCTCCTCCATCCATGGGATTTTTCAGGCAAGAATACTGGAGTAGGCTGCCATTTCCTTCTCCAGGGGATCTTCCCAACCCAGGGATTGAACCCGGGTCTCCCGCATTGTAGGCAGATGCTTTTACCATCTGAGCCATCAGAGTGTTGCATCTAAACTGGAGATAAAATTTTTATCATACCCAGCCCCACACTTACAGGCAGAAAACATTAAGAATTAGATAAAAAGAAAGAAAATCTTCCTACGGATAAACGGGGAAATAAGTGATAAATTTATTTGTCTTGCAGCAAAATGACAGGGCTAATATTTTATTCTTTACTGGCAAAAGTTCCATAATGGATCTGAAGCTGTTTTTCTCCTTGTTACATCTTCCTGACCCCAATTATGTCATTGGTCTAACAGTATCTTTACATAGAGATGTTCTGTTAAGATCTGGTGGAAAATCACAGGGAATATAATTAAGCAAGAGTCAGTCTTGGGTAGGAGAAGGCAATGGCAACCCACTCCAGTACTCTTGCCTGGAAAATACCATGGATGGGGGAGCCTGGTGGGCTGCCGTCTATGGGGTCGCACAGAGTTAGACATGACAAGCGACTTAGCAGCAGCAGCAGCAGCAGTCTTGGATACACTCCAAATTCATGACTTGATAAATCTGATTAGAAGGTATAAGATCCCATGATCTTCGCCTCTGTCAGGGAGATGATGCTATCCTCTTTAGAACTATTATACCTTTTTCAGGAGTTGCAATAACTATTTCAATAATGAGCTCTCAAACTCTCAGTAGTTTCTTTTGCTATACTAACACAATAGAAAGAGGTAGGGAAAAAAAGCTGCATAGTATTTTATTTTTATTTTTATTTTTCTTTATTGAAGTTACTGGAAAACAGTTTAGCTACTAGAGCAATTTCCTTTTCAAAATAGTTGTTAACTTATATGACATAGATTTGTCTGCTGCTTTAATTACCTTAAGCTGGAAAAAGTATTTTTCCTGTTTGTAATATGGAATTTTGGGGGAATTTTTAAAAAACATTTCTACAATGTGAATAATAACAATTTTCTGAAATATTTAGAAGATTCTGTGAAGAAAAGGGGCTGACATAGTCATGTGAAATCAAATATATTTTTAGGAATAATGCAGATTTTTGCCCTCGGTGTTCACACTGGATTGAAGACATTTCTGTGTCTTTACGAGATAGTTGAAAAGGCTCCTTGCCGACTGTGAACAGGAACCCAAAAGGTAAATTTATAACAGTTAATAGTAGATGCCAGATTTTTCAGTTGTGTAAATTTATTTACTATGTAGGAAATTGAAAACTTGGATTTATAAGAATTGAAAGATTGAAAACCTTTGCCTGGAATCACAAGATTTTTGAAGTGAACTAGTTTAAGATTCAATTTCTCTCACTGAAAAATGTATGATTTTAGAAAATTAAATATTATAAGCCTGTTTCTTTAAAAAATGAAGTTAGCAATATTTCTTACAGTGAAGGCTAAATTTTATACATTAAGTGTGATTTTATAAGTGCACAGAGTATATGCACTTATATATATACATATGGAGACATAAAACATCAGTGTAAGCATGGAGATTTGTTTATCCCTAAGTCATGTTCAAATCTTTCTCACCCCATGGACTGTAGCCCACGAGGCTCCTCTGTCCGTTGGATTTCCCAGGCAAGAATATTGGGGTGAGTTGCCCTTTCCTTCTCCAAGGGATCTTCCCAACCCAGGAGTTGAACCCCTGTCTCCTGTTTGGATGGAGATTCTTTACCACTGGGCCATCTGAGAAGTTCAAGCAGAGATAACATCTAACATACAATTTGGCATAAAAATGATAGATATTCTTACAATGTTAATATTTCCTTTTATTAAATTATTCTCTATCACAAAATGAGATGGAGAACATTTAGGAAGGAATAGGTTAATTGTGGAATATTGAAAATGTATTTAATACATTTAATAAATATGATTAAAATTTATTTTAATAAATATTAAATTGATATCTGTTTGGATATGTCAATTAGATAGTTGCATACACATATTTATTCCTATATTTGTTCTCCCCACTTTGAATGTGTAAGTTACCTTAAATGATTCTTTACTTAAATATTTCATGTTGTGATTTTATACTTGGTTCATCTTTTCATGGAATTCCCTATTTATCCACTCTTATTATTTCACTTTTCTTATAAAACTCAGCTGAAGTATTGTTTTCTTTGAGAAACCTTCCCAGATCCAGAGTTGATTATAGACATTCTGGAAATGTTAACCCTTATCCATATGAACCTATTTATAGTGACGCTTATAAAATTGGTTGTTATGGTCTGACCCCTCATTATACATCTAATCACTGAGAATAGGGAAACATTCTTATTTGACTTTATGATTCTAATGTCAGGTTTAACACATTGGATGGATAAAGTACATTAAGCTTATAATCCATGTAAAGGTGTTTTTAATTTTTTGATTTGATTCATAGGTAAACTGTTCCTCATATGTGAAGTCAGCACCTGTAAGGAATAGATGGAACCAAGAAGCAATGTGACTCACTTTGTCCTCCTGGGCCTCACTCAGAATCCAAAGGAGCAGAAAGTCCTTTTTGTTATGTTCTTGTTCTTCTACATTTTGACCATGTTGGGCAACATGCTTATTGTGGTGACTGTAACGTTTAGTAAGATCCTGAATTCGCCGATGTACTTTTTTCTTGCTAGTTTATCATTTATGGATGTCATTTATTCCTCATCTATTTCTCCCAAATTGATTTCAAGCTTGTTCTTAGGGAAAAATACCATATCCTTCCAATCCTGTATGACCCAGCTGTTTACAGAGCACTTTTTTGGTGGATCAGAGGTCTTCCTTCTGCTGGTGATGGCCTATGACCGCTATGTGGCCATCTGTAAGCCCTTGCATTATCTGGTGATCATGAGGCAATGGGTGTGTGTTGTGTTGCTGGTGCTGTCCTGGGTTGGAGGTTTTCTGCACTCAATTATTCAGCTTAGCACTATTTTCGGGCTCCCGTTCTGTGGCCCCAATATCATTGATCATTTTTTCTGTGACATGTACCCTCTATTGAAACTGGTCTGTACTGACACCTATATCATTGGCCTCTTAGTAGCAGCAAATGGAGGACTGATCTGCACTGTTGTGTTTCTGCTCTTACTCGTCTCCTACGGAGTCATCCTGCACTCTCTGAAGAGCCTGAGTCAGGAAGGGAGGCGGAAAGCCCTCCAGACCTGTGGTTCCCACATCACTGTGGTTGTCTGCTTCTTTGTTCCCTGCATTTTCATGTATGTGAGGCCTGCTAAGACCTTCCCCACTGACAAATCTGTGAGTGTGTTCTATACAGTCATAACTCCCATGCTGAACCCACTAATCTACACTCTGAGAAACTCAGAGATGACAAATGCCATGAAGAAGCTCTGGAGAAGGAGCATGGTATTTTATGGTAAAAAAAGTGCATCATCCACCATGAAGGGGGTCATTTGACATCAGAGACCACTTCCTTGGAATTCAGTAGCTTTCTCAAATCTGATTCTGGTTTCTTTTTCTTCTAGGAATTTATAATTATAATATAAAAAGTTTTACTGTAGCTATGCAACTGTGCTGTTAATAACATGGATAGTTCCTCTCCATGGTAGAATGCAAGGTCTGTAATATTTTCCTTATCACTGTACCTAGAAAGATGTAAGAAAGATTGAAGGAGCCAATATCATGTAACAGATTAGTGAAGGAAATTTTATATAGTTACACTGATTTTTAATCAATTTATGCATTTTTTTCTGTTTTAACTTTTTCCAGACAGTATTTATTTTTAGTTAGATTCTTGTCTTTTAAGTTATTCTTTTTATTATGCTATTTAAAGTATTTAATGCTATATACTTGGTGTTCTTTATAAAATTTCAGTTGCATTATACACAAAACTTTTCATGTAACCCTAATTTTTTTTGAACAGCTGAAGTGAAATAGATAATAATAAATAGTAAAAATTCAAATCATACAAAATGGGAGAAAGTGTAGAATACATTTCCTATTTATCTTTCAATATATTTTCTAGTCCACTTCTGCAGGGGCACTCTATTTCTTAAGATCCATCTGGTAATAATCTATGTAAAAGCAATTGTATTTAAATACATGTATTTTTTTTCTGTGTAGGTAAACTTTGCTTTTGTAGGAACATCTGTGAGGTATTTTCCTAGCAGTCCATCTAGAGCTAACCCTTAATTTTTTTCGTACTACGTCATACTCCTTTATAGAGACATACTGAAATTAATGTTTCCATTCTTTTTCATGTTGTTCCTAAATGTTATCTATGTTTGCAATGCAAATATATTTTTGAATGTGTGCAAGTATGAGCTTCTGGAGGTGAAGTTGTTGATATATGTGTTGTGTTTGAATCAATGCTCAGGTAATACATGCATTTAAAATATTGATGGTCATAGCTATTGCCATCTTTGAAGTTGTACAAACAGCTACACTCCTGTTCACAGTTTGTGAGAATATTTTTGTCCACATTCTCAAAATCAACCCTGATAAATACTGATGGCATATGATAATCAGATTAAATTTGTTTTAGATTTGGTTTTATAATTTACCACAAATCCTTTTGATATGGGTTTGGACATCTTTTCACTTGTTTGATATAATTTGTATTTTTTCCCTAGAATTGTCTGTTAATCTCTTTTATCTTTTCATTTAATTGTTGATCCTGTCCATGCTGATTTTTATGAAATAATTGTCTAATAAAGAGACGACGCTTTTTGCTATCATACACAAGTGGATATCTTTCTGGCTAGTCACCGAACAGGGTGTCCTGGAGCTGGTGTCGTTTTGCTGGTTGGCAGAATGGTCAGGCCAGGCTGCCCTGGGTGGTGCTGGCCTGCTGGTGAGTGGGCTGGGATAGACTGGGCTGGCATCAGGGCCACGGTCTTGTGGGTGGGGCTTTGGCTCAGTGGGTCCTGGGGCTGATGCTTGCCCACTGGTGGGTGAGACCAGGACCTGGGGTTTGGGCTAGCCCACTGGTGGTGGAGCCGAGTCCCAGGGTCCCTGGCTGCGGGGCCACGGGCCCCAGAACTTGGGTTGTCTGAGTGGTTGCAGGTTCCAGGGTGTTCTGGGCTGCTGTCCTTGTTACTACCCAGGGTTCTTGATCTCCTTAATCAATAGAAATTGATTAGAGACCAGACAAGAAATTCAGGCAAGGCTTTATGGGGGCCCCTGCTGCAGCAGTGGGTAGCAAGGACAAACGACTCCTTAGGTGGTATCGTGCGCAGGGGCATGCACAGTGCCCTGCTTTTCTCCTGACTCTCTGCTTTTTGCTCCAGGCTCTTCAAAAGTGGTGTGTGTTCACGCCAAGTCTCTGCAGTCTAGTCCGACTCTGTGGCCCTGTGGACTGTTGCCCACCAGACTCTTCTGTCCATGCTGAAGTGGGTTGCCATGCCCTCCGCCAGGGGATCTTCCCAACCCAGAAACTGAACCCATGTCTCCTGAGTCTCCTGCATTTCAGGCAGATTCTTTACCACTGAGCCACTGGGAATCTCCTATTACCTTAGTTCTTAAACTTATTCTAAAAATTGTGGTCAAATATACATAACAAAATTTTTAATTTTAACCATATTAAAGTGGCATTAATTCATCCTGTTATGCAAACAATACCACTGTCTATCATTGGCAGAACATTTCCAGGTTCCCAAACTGAAATTCCACAGCTATTAAATAAAATTTCCCATTTCCACTCAGTGAGCCCCAGGCAATCACCATTCTTTCTGTGAACTTGACTCCTTTAAGTGCCTCATGTAAAGTGGAATCATTTAGTTATTTATTTATTTTGATTGCCTTTTTTCACTCAGTATAATATCCTTTCCCCATTAAATGCTGTTGGCACCCTTGTGGAAAATTATCTAAGCACATATAAAAGGTTTATTTCTAGACTCTCTTAATTCCATTAGTTTGTTGTCTGTCTTTATTCCAAAACTGGCGCTGTGACTACCATTGTTTTGTGCAATGTTGTAGAATCAGGAAATATTAGACCGACACCTTTCTCTTTCCTTTTCAAGATTGTCTTGGAAAAAATTGGAGTCCTTGAGATTCCATATGAGTCTTGGCATGAATTTTTCTATTTCTGCCAAAAACGTTTCTGGGGTTTTGATAAGGATTGCACTGAATCTGTAGGTCACTTACAGTCATATTAACACCTTAATGCTAATAAATGACTCAATTCATAAATTTCTTTCCATATATGGGTGTGTATTCTCTGAGCAACATTTTGCAGTTTTCAGTTTACAAGATTTTTGTCTCTTTAGTTATGTTCTTTCTTAACTATTTTATTCTTTATGATGTGCTTGTAGGTGGAATTATTTTCTTTATTTCTCCTGGGTTGTTCACGATGGTATAGAAATTCAACAGCATTTCACATAAAATCTCAATGAATTGGAAGTAGAAAGAGTGTACCTTGACATAATAAAGTTCATATATTTACAGATCACAGCTAACATCATCCTCAACTTTGAAAGATTGAAAACTTCCCCATTAAAATATGGATGAAGAAGGCACACTCTCACAAGCCCTTTTGAACATAGTATTGCCATAAAAATTCTTGTGAAGATTTTAGAGTTTTCTAAGTATAGCTCCTGTCAATTCTGAAAGTGAGATAATTTTATCAATTATCTCACTTTTTAAATTTAGTTTTACTTTCCGTAATAGTGCTTCTTTATTTAAAAACTTTTTATTTTATATTGGAGTATAGCCAATTAATGAGTGTCACCAGTGCCTCAGTGGTAAAGAATCCACCTGCAATGCAGGAGACTCAGAAGACAAGGGTTCAGTTCCTGGGTTAGGATGGTTCCCTGAGGACATGGCAACCCACTCTAATACTCTTGCTGGGATAATGCCATGGACAAAGGAGCCTGGTGGGCTATAGTCCATGGTTCTCAAAGAACTAGACATGACTGAAGTGACTGAAAATGAAGGCACAGCCATTAACAATGTAGTGATAGTTTCAGGTGGAGACCAAAGGGACCCAATCACGGATACACATAGCCATTCTCCCCAAACTCCCTTCCCATTCTGGCTGCCACATAACACTGAACAGAGCTTCCTGTACTGAACAGTGGGATCTTGTTGGTTATCCACTTTAAATGAAGTGGTTTGAACACGTAGATCTCGGTCTTCCTGACTCTCTCCCACATTGTTATATTGACAACCATAAGTTTGTTCTCTGAGTCTCGGAATCTGTTCTGCTTTGTTCATTGGTATCATTTCTGTAACAGTGCTTCTGATGGTATTCGTTTTCTATCCTTTCAATATCATCTTAAACATCCTTTTAAGAAAAATCATCTTTGCTTACATTGTCCATAGTAGAATTTTCCCTTTTATTTTCTGTCACACACCATATTTCTTAACTTATAAATAGTGAAAAGAATAAAACTATTTTATTAAACTGTTTCTTTCTTTATTGCCTGAATCATAAATAAATAACATCCAGGCAGGAGAAAAATTTTGCATGATTTTCCAACTGATTTTAGAAATTGCTGGGCCCTCGCTCAACGTACAATTGCTGGCATAACAGCATAACACAGGTGTCCTAACCTTTTAAAAATTAATAATTGGATAAATAATTGGCTGTTATCTCTAACATTCTAACTCATTTAGTTGTGTTTTCTGATATAATTTTATACCTCTAACAAAATTTTAAGCTGAGAATAAGTTCACTTCAGTCATTCAGTCAAGTCCAACTCATTGCCACCCCATGGACTGTAGGAATCCAGCCTTCCTTGTCCATCACCATATCCCATAGCTCACTCAAATCATGTCCATCCAGTCGGTGATGCCATTCAGCCATCTCATTCTCTGTTGTCCCTTTCTCCTCCTGCCTTCAATATTTCCCAGCATCAGGGTCATTTAAAATCATTTAGTTTTTCACATTAGGTGGCCAAAGTATTGGAGCTTCACCATCAGTCTTTCCAGTGAACACCCAGGACTAATCTCCTTTAGGATGGACTGGTTGGATCTCCTTGCAGTCCAAGGGACTCTCAAGAGTTTTCTCCAACACCACAGTTCAAAAGCATTAGTTCTTTGGTGCTCAGCTTTCTTTATAGTCCAACTCTCACATCCATACATGACCACTGGAAAAACCATAGCTTTGACTCGATGGACCTTTGTCTGCAAAGTAATGTCTTTGCTTTTTAATATGATGTCTAGGTTTGTCATAGTTTTTCTTCTAGGGAGCAAGTGTCTTTTGATTTCATGACTGCAATCACCATTTGCAGTGATTTTGGAGCCCAAGAAAATAAAGTCTGTCACTGTTTCCATTGTTTCCCAGTATATTTGCCATGAAGTGATGGGACCGAATGCCATGACCTTTGTTTTTTTGAATGTTAAGCTATAGACAGTTTTTTTCCCTTTTCCTTTTCCCTATTATCAAAGGGTTCTTTAGTTCTTTGATTTCTGCCATAAGAATGGTATCATCTATATATCTGAGGTTATTGATATTTCTCCCGGTAATCTTGATTCCAGCTTGTGCTTCATCCAGCCCAACATTTCACATGATGTACTCTGCATTTAAGTTAAATAAACAGAGTGACAATATACAGCCTTGACTCACTCCTTTTGCAATTTGACCTAGTCCATTGTTCCATGTCCGGTTCCAACTGTTACTTCTTGACCTGCATACAGATTTCTCAGGAGACCCGTAAGGTGGTCTGGTATTCCCATCTGTTAAGAATTTTCCACAGTTTGCTGTGATCCACAGAGTCAAAGGCTTTGGCGTGGTCAATAAAGCAGAAGTAGATGTTTTTCTGGAACTCTCTTGCTTTTTCGATGATTCAGCGTATGTTGGCAATTTGATCTCTTGTTCCTCTACCTTTCCTAAATCCAGTTTGAACATCTGGAAGTTCTCAGTTCACATACTGTTGAAGTCTGGCCTAGAGAATTTTGGGCATGACTTTGCTAGTATGTGAGATGAGTGAGATTGGGCATTAGTTTGAGTATTCTTTGGCATTGCCTTTCCTTGGGATTGCAATGAAAACTGACATTTTCCCAATCCTGTGGCAACTGCTGAGTTGTCCAAATAGCTGGCGTATGAATGCAGCACTTTAACAGAGTCATCTTTTTGGATTTGAAATAGCTCAGCTGAAATTCCATCACCTCCACTAGCTTTATTCGTAGTGATGCTTTCTAAGGCCCACTTGACTTCGCATTCCAGGATGTCTGGCTCTAGGTGAGTGATCACACCATCGTGGTTATCTGGGTCATGAAGATCATTTTTGTATAGTTCTTCTGTGTATTCTCGCCACCTGTTCTTAATATCTTCTGACTGTGTTAGGTCCGTACCATTTCTGTCCTTTATTGTGCCCATCTTTGCATGAAATACTCCCTTGGTATCTCTAATTTTCTTAAAGAGATCTCTAGTCTTTCCCATTCTATTGTTTTCCTCTATTTCTTTGCATTGATCACTGAAGAAGGCTTTCTTATCTCTCTTTGTCCTTTGGAACTCTGCATTCAAATAGGTTTATCTTTCCTTTTCTCCTTTTCCTTTAGCTTCTCTTCTTTACTCAGAGGCCTTTACTTTGTAAGGCCTCCTTAGAAAAGCATTTTGCCTTTTTTTTTGCATTTCTTTTTCTTGGGGATGGTCTTGATCACTGCCTCCTGTACAATGTCATGAACCTCTGTCCATAATTCTTCAGGCACTCTATCAGATCTAATCCTTTGAATCTATTTGTCACTTCCACTCTATAATCATAAGGGATTTGATTTAGGTTATAACAATGATCCTGTGGTTTTCCCTACTTTCTTCTATTTAATAATTTTTTAAAATTAAAATTAAAATTTAATTTAAATTTAAAATTAAATTTAACATTTAAGTTTTTTTTTTTTTTGCTCTAAACAGTCAGCAAAAGCAAGACTGGGAGCTTACTGTGGCTCAGATCATGAACTACTTATTGCCAAGTTGAGGATATTGAGTAGTAAATAAAAGAATGGAAAATCTTCTTATGCCAGGTGTGGAAATATATAACAAATAAGTTCACTGGGACAAAATGATTGGGTTGATTTTCTTCTTGATTGGCAGTAGTCTCATAATGATTCAAAAGTTATTTTTCCATGTTGCACCGTTATGATATTTAATATGAAATTTGGTCTAATAATGTCTTTACATATAGATGTTCTTTAACAACTTTGTGGAAAATTCCAATGTATTAATTAAAGCAAGAATCAGTCTTGGACACATTCCAATTCCAAGACTCCATGATAAATTCAGCTGGAAGGGCTGAAATATTCCGTAATCTCACCCTTAACAGGGAGAAGATGCTATCCACTCAGTGACTGTCATGTATTTTTCAGGAGGTCATCTCTTACACTTAAAGCATGACAAAAAAATCACAGTAAAGTCTTTCGAAATCTGAAGTCAACTAGTCTGTCCATGTTAATGTTGAGTGTGAGAAGAGCTAAACATTCAAATGCTATTTTTCATTTTAATGTTAGTAGGAAATAAGTTGTGAAAAAATTCCCTAGGAAATTACCAGTTGATATCTATGTTTTCTATGAATATGGAGGATTTGCTGGTCATTTTGATACATTTCCTGATGTGATAAACTATTTTTTTCTGTGTGCCATGGAACTCCTTTCAAATAATCTGTTTTTTATATAAAAATGAACTTCTGAATAATCAGAAGACTCAGTGGAGAAAAAGGACAGACGGCCAAATGAGATAAACTCAATTAATAAGGCAGCATTTGGCCTCTGTTATCAAACTGGATGAAAAACAATTTCAAGTGTTTATGAATAACTTCAAGTCATCCTTAGATTCTGAACAAACCTCCACAAGGTAAGACTAGCAGAAAATAATGAGAACCAGGCTCACAGTTGTATGACTTTCTTTATGTAAGAAACTAAATTACTTTGAAGTCAAACAAATGTAGATTCAATTCTAGATATATCACTTAGAAGTGTGTGATTTTGGGAAAATAAATGGTATGTTCTGAGTATTAGATTCTTCAATTATAAAATGGCAATTGCATTTCTTGTTTTGTAAATATTAAATATGATAGACTATGAGTGCATGATTGGAATATACTGTAGCAGTTTTGAGCAATAGAGTGATATCATCAGAATAAAACTGAAAAAGACAATTTGAGCTGCTTTAGGAGAACCAATTTTTGGAGAATAAACACAAAAAAACTTGGTAGGAGGGTACTGCAGCAGATCAGGAAGAAATTAAGAAGGGAATGAAAAATTAGTGATATATTTTGAAAGTAGAGACAACAGGATTTAGTAAAGTTTTATGAGAGTATCAAGTGCAGAGGACTGCAATTTTTTTGTCAGGACAATAGCATGGAAAATGATAGTATTTAATGAGATAAATAGGGAATGCCTCTTTAAATTTTGTATAGGAACTACTTATGTTTTTCTTTATTTTTTTATTTTTTTTATTATTTTTTATTTTTTATTTTTATTTTCATTTATTTTTATTAGTTGGAGGCTAATTACTTTACATCATTGCAGTGGGTTTTGTCATACATTGAAATGAATTAGCCATGGATTTACATGTATTCCCCATCCCGGTCCCCCCTCCCACCTCCCTCTCCACCCAATCCCTCTGGGTCTTCCCAGTGCACCAGGCCCGAGCACTTGTCTCATGCACTCAACCTGGGCTGGTGATCTGTTTCACCCTAGATAATATACGTGTTTCGATGCTGTTCTCTTGAAACATCCCACCCTCGCCTTCTCCCAGAGTCCACAAGTCTGTTCTATACATCGGAGTCTCTTTTTCTGTTTTGCATATAGGGTTATCGTTACCATCTTTCTAAATTCCATATATATGTGTTAGTATACTGTAATGGTCCTTATCTTTCTGGCTTACTTCGCTCTGTATAATGGGCTCCTGTTTCATCCATCTCATTAGAACTGATTCAAATGAATTCTTTTTAATGGCTGAGTAATATTCCATGGTGTATATGTACCACAGCTTCCTCATCCATTCGTCTGCTGATGGGCATCTAGGTTGCTTCCATGTCCTGGCTATTATAAACAGTGCTGCGATGAACATTGGGGTGCACGTGTCTCTTTCAGATCTGGTTTCCTCGGTGTGTATGCCCAGAAGTGGGATTGCTGGGTCATATGGCAGTTCTATTTCCAGTTTTTTAAGAAATCTCCACACTGTTTTCCATAGTGGCTGTACTAATTTGCATTCCCACCAACAGTGTAAGAGGGTTCCCTTTTCTCCACACCCTCTCCAGCATTTATTGCTTGTAGACTTTTGGATAGCAGCCATCCTGACTGGTGTGTAATGGTACCTCATTGTGGTTTTGATTTGCATTTCTCTGATAATGAGTGATGTTGAGCATCTTTTCATGTGTTTGTTAGCCATCTGTATGTCTTCCTTGGAGAAATGTCTGTTTAGTTCTTTGGCCCATTTTTTGATTGGGTCATTTATTTTTCTGGAGTTGAGCTGGAGGAGTCGCTTGTATATTTTTGAGATTAATCCTTTGTCTGTTGCTTCGTTTGCTATTATTTTCTCCCAATCTGAGGGCTGTCTTTTCACCTTGCTTATAGTTTCCTTTGTTGTGCAAAAGCTTTTAAGTTTCATTAGGTCCCATTTGTTTATTTTTGCTTTTATTTCTAAAATTCTGGGATGTGGGTCATAGAGGATCCTGCTGTGATTTATGTCGGAGAGTGTTTTGCCTATGTTCTCCTCTAGGAGTTTTATAGTTTCTGGTCTTACATTTAGATCTTTAATCCATTTTGAGTTTATTTTTGTGTATGGTGTTAGAAAGTGTTCTAGTTTCATTCTTTTACAGGTGGTTGACCAGTTTTCCCAGCACCACTTGTTAAAGAGGTTGTCTTTTTTCCATTGTATATCCTTGCCTCCTTTGTCAAAGATAAGGTGACCATAGGTTCGTGGATTTATCTCTGGGCTTTCTATTCTGTTCCATTGATCTATATTTCTGTCTTTGTGCCAGTACCATACTGTCTTGATGACTGTGGCTTTGTAGTATAGTCTGAAGTCAGGCAGATTGATTCTTCCAGGAACTACTTACGTTTTTCATGGAAAATTTAAAAGCTAGTTTTATAAATACTAAATTGCCAATCAACTGGATGTCAAAAACTAGAGATGTTGCATATATAAATTTGAAAATTAAGGGAGAGGGTGGGGCTGGAGACACAAAATTAGACTTCTGGAGCATTTATTGGTCAGGAAAAGGGAAATATCCCCCTGAAGACCTAAGACATATCAATGAGGTCTGAGACAATTCAAGACAGGGATCTTCTATTCATAGTTAGTCTACTCACATTGATTATGTAAATTACCTTAAGAGAGTCACATGTGTTACACATTTGTGACTTCATAAATGGTGCTCCTTTCATGGAATTCTCTTCCCATCTTTTTTATTCTCTCATTAAAACAAACAAACAAACAAGAGACTCAGCTGAAGCACTTACTCCTTTGGGAAGTCTTTTCTGATTTTAGTTTGATATACACTTATGCTGTAACTCAGCACTGTGTGAATATTCATGTGATGGCTGCAATTGCCTAATTCCTTATCATGTGAGGGTAGGGTTCTATGGCTTTTTCAAGCTGGTAATAAGAATGTCCTTAACACATTGGACCCAAAATATACACCATTTACATTCTTCTAATGAATGGATAAATAAAAAATTAAACATTTAATACTCTCCCCCCCTGTTTTATAGGTAAACTGCTTCTAATATACAAACTCAGCTCTTGTAAGAACTAGATGGAACCAAGGAACAATATATCTTACTTTGTCCTCTTGGGCCTCACAAAGAATCCAAAGGAGCAAAAAGTCCTTTTTGTTATGTTCCTGGTCTTTTACATTTTGACTGTACTGGGCAACTTTCTCATTATCATTACTGTAACTATCAGTAAGACTCTGAACTCACCGATGTACTTTTTTCTTGCTAGCTTATCATTTATGGATGTTACTTATTCTTCTTCCATTACCCCCAGATTGATTTCAGACTTGTTCTTTGGGAAAAAAACATATCCTTTGAATCTTGTATGACCCAACTGTTTGCAGAGCACCTTTTTGCTGGATCAGGGGTCTTCCTTCTGCTGGTGATGGCCTATGACCGCTATGTGGCCATCTGTAAGCCCTTGCATTATTTGGTGATCATGAGGCAGAGGACATGTATTGTGCTGCTGGCGGTGTCCTGGGTTGGAGGTTTTCTGCACTCAGTGATTCAACTTGGCACTGTTTATGGGCTCCCATTCTGTGGCCCCAATGTCATTGATCACTATATGTGTGACATGTACCCTTTATTGAAACTTGTCTGTACTGACACCTATGTCACTGACCTCTTAGTTGCATCCAATGGGGGGCTGATCTGCACTGCTGTGTTTCTGCTCTTACTCGTCTCCTATGGAGTCATCCTGCATTCTCTGAAGAACCTGAGTCAGGAAGGGAGGCGGAAAGCCCTCCAGACCTGTGGTTCCCACATCACTGTGGTTGTCTGCTTTTTTGTTCCCTGTATTTTCATAAATGCAAGACCTGCTAAGACCTTCCCCATTGACAAATCTGTGAGTGTGTTCTATACAGTCATAACTCCCATGCTGAACCCATTAATCTACAGCCTAAGAAATTCTGAGTTGACTAATGCTATGAAGAAGCTCTGGAAAAGGAACATCATATCTCATAGTAAATAAGCGCATCACCCAACATGAAGGGAGTCATTTGACATCAGGGTTCATTTACTTAGAATGTGAAAGTCATTTTAAAATTTGATTCTGATTTCTCTTTCTTCAGAGACTTTATGATAATTACTTGAATGTTTGCAATTAATATAGCTATGCCATTAATAGCAGTTTACTTACCTACTAGAATGTAAGGTCTATAATTACTTGCTTATTACTGTACCTAGAAAGAGGTAATGCCTATATATATAGGAATTAGTAATATATATTAAAAAATAGAGATTCAATTTGCCAACAAAAGTCCATAGGTCAATGCATAGTTTTTCCAATAGTCATATATGGATGTGAGACATGGACCATACAGAAGGCTGAACACCAAAGGCTGAACACTGAAGAACTGATGCTTTTAAACTGTGGTGCTGCAGAAGACTCTTGAGAGTCCTTTGAAATGTGAGGAGGTCATACTAGTCAATCCTAAGAGAAGTTAACCCTGACTATTCATTGGAATGACTGATGCTAAAACTGAAGCTCCAATACTTTGGCCACCCGATGGGAAGAGTTGACTCATCGGAAAAATCCCTGATGCTGGGAAAGATTGAGCACAGGTGGAGAAAGGGGTGACATAGGGTGAAATGGTTGGATGGCATCACCAACTCAATGGCCATGAATTTGAGTGAAGTCTGGGAGACAGTGAAGGACAAAGAAGCTTGGTCCACTGCAGTCCATGGGTTCACGAAGAGTTGGATATGACTAAATATCAAGAACAATAATTTAAAATGAATCAAGAAATTATTATGAGTTTCACTGATTTTTAGCTTTATATATAGTTAACTTTTAAACTTTTTATATAGAATTTTAACTATTATATATTTACCCTGAAATTTAATCAATTTATGTATTTATCTTTTTTACTCTCTTTCAGAGACAGGATACTTTTTATTTTAGATTCGTGTCATTTAATTGGAACATTTTTATGTATACAATTTTATATATTTAATTCTATATAAGTTGCTTTCTTTACTATATTTAAGTTGCATTATTCACAAAATGTTTAGCTTAATTCTTTATAAGAAACATTGAAGTAAAAAAAATATTAATAAATAGTATAAAGAAAAACCAAATAAATTGGGATGCAATGTCAAATAAATTTCCTATTTTTATCTCAGTATTTTCTAGTCCTCATGCTCAGAATTTAGCCCTAAATTTGTTTCTTAATTGATGGCTTAATTGGTGGCTCAGTCAGTAAAGAACCTGCCTGCAATATAGGAGACCCAGTTTCGATCCCTGATTCAAGAAGATCTCCTGGAGAAAGAAATGGCAACCCACCCCAGTATTCTTGCTTGGGAAATCACATGGACAGAGGAACCTGGTGGGTTATAGTTCATGGGGTTGCACAGAGTCAGATAAGATTTAGCGACTAAACCACTACCACCAACAATCTTTGAAACACAATATATTAGCCAAATATATATTTGCTTCTTTCTATATATATAACACTTGCTTTTGGTATCTGACATATGAAAAATATTTCCATTATCAATCCATAATATCTCTTAACTATTAAGCTACACAACATTCTGTATAAATTTATACTTAAGTTGACATGTCCATTCCTCTTCATTTGGTTCCTAAACTTCTCTATGAGAAATAATTTACCAATAAGTATGCTTTTGAATTGTGCAATTATGAGTTCCTAGGCATAGAATTTTTGATACGATATTTGAACCAATATTCAAGTAGTATATTCATTTAAAATGTTGATACTGATAGTTATTGCTAAACTACCGTTCTTGAGGTCAGTGTAACAGCTATAGTCCTGTCCATAGTCTGTGAGAATTCTTTTGACCACATTGTCAATGACCAGTCCCTGAAAGGTATTTATGACATCTGGTTAACGTTATTTTTATATTTAAACCACCACCCTTTTCATGCAATTGAATTTGGGCATCTTTCCACATACTTAATTTATCAGTATTTATTTTCCTCTGGATTACATATATATGTATAACCTATTTTTTGTTTTAATTTTTATGAGATAATGATATACTAAAAATTGGTATCTTTTACATTATATATTTAATATTTTCTGGTTATATGCTTTTAACATTTTATCCTATGTAGAATGCTTTTTCCTTGTAATTTATTTTATGCTTTATATTCAATTTTTAGAATTTTTTTGTATCTTCTTTAGGAAGAATTTTTCCAGTTCCCTTGTACCAAACATCCTTCAATTCATTTTTAGGATTTAATTTTTAAAGCATTGTGATATCTTGTTTATTATATTAAAACTCTTGATTCATCTTGAATTAACTTTGTTATAGGAATTAAATAGTGATGAAGTCTTAATTGTTTCTCTAAATTTTAGAATTTTTAGAAAAATATTCACAAAATAATCTTATTGCCATTGATTTGAAATTCTGACTATGGCTATTATATCCTGAAGTCCCAATCTGGAACCAATTTGAGACTATTGTTTTTCACTAATCTCTTTATTTATGTGCAGGTTGACACATAACTGCCATGATATATAACATATTTCAATATGTGAGAGACTAACTGTCCCTTATTACCATTATCTTTCAGAAGTATGCCTAGGGAGGTTTATTTATAATTCAAAAATTATTACAACTAAAATAATAAATTGAATATAAATAAGATCAATAATATAGTTTAAAATTAAGTTAAAATAAGTTTAAAATAGTTTAGTCACAAAACAGTGTTGTTATTATTTTTAATAATATTCACTTCAAGAAGGTTAGTTTAAGAGGTTAGTTTAAGTTAGTTTATATATTTAGAGTATAGTATAAAAAGAACTGTTATCCAGGTAAGAATAGGTGTCTTCAGTTAGTAAGTCACCTATCGTAAGCTTGGGCAGAGCTTACAGTTCCTGCCTGTGTTTCTTATCAGTTGTAGATAGCTGCGGGTTTTTATCTATGACACCTAAAATGCCAGCTGACACTTGCTGTAAGAAAAAAAAATCATCTCTTTCAGGAAGTCCATAACTCAACCCTTTGCTGAGTATCTTTTGCTGCTGAGATCTTCCTGGCCATAGTGGTTGCCAGAGCTCTATGTAGCCATCTGCAAAACCCTGCACTGTGAAACCATCATGAGTGACAGGGATGTGGTTTCTTTCAAGCATCACAAGCTAGAGGATTTGTCCTTGCAACACTGGATTCTCTTCACAGTGTGACTGCCTGTCTGTAACTCCAACGTCATAGACCATTCCTGTGTGCCTGACACCCTTTGCTGAAACCTGTCTGCATGGGCACTCACACCACTGGCCTCTGTTGCTGCCAACTGTGGATTCATTTACCCATTAAAACATTTCCTTCAGAATGGGAGACAATAATAGCAAATGAAGCAACTGACAAAGAATTAATCTCAAAAATATACAAACAACTCCTGCAGCTCAATTCTGGAAAAATAAATGACCCAATCAAAAAAATGGACCAAAGAACTAAACAGACATTTCTCCAAAGAAGACATACAAATGGCCAACAAACACATGAAAAGATGCTCAACATCTTCATTATCAGAGAAATGCAAACCAAAACCACAATGAGGTATCATCTCACGCCGGTCAGAATGGCTGCTATCAAAAAGTCTGAAAACAATAAATGCTGGAGAGGGCGTGGAGAAAAGGGAACCCTCTTACACTGTTGGTGGGAATGCAAACTAGTACATCCACTATGGAGAACAGTGTGGAGATTCCTTAAAAACCTGGAAATAGAACTGCCGTATGACCCAGCAATCTCACTGCTGGGCATACACACTGAGGAAACCAGAATTGAAAGAGACACGTGCACCCCAATGTTCATCGCAGCACTGTTTACAATAGCCAGGACATGGAAGCAACCTAGATGTCCGTCGGCAGATGAATGGATAAGAAAGCTGTGGTACATATACACCATGGAATATTACTCAGCCATTAAAAAGAATGCATTTGAATCAGTTCTAATGAGGTGGATGAAACTGGAGCCTATTATTTAGAGCGAAGTAAGTCATAAAGAAAAACAACAATACAGTATATTAGCGCATATATATGGAATTTAGAAAGATGGCAATGATGACCCTATATGTGAGACAGCAAAAGAGACACAGTTGTAAAGAACAGACTGTTGGACTCTGTGGGAGAAGGTGAGGGTGGGATGATCTGAGAGAAGAGCACTGAAACATGTATATTATCATATGTGAAATAGATCACCAGTCCAGGCTCGATGCATGAGACAGGTGCTCAGGGCTGGTGCCCTGGGATGACCCTGAGGCATGGGATGGGGAGGGAGGCGGGAGGGGGAGCACACGTACACCCATGGCTGATTCATGTGAATGTA